GGATCACGTCCCGTAAGTGGCAAAAATCGTGAGAAATGGTCCTGTCACCGGCAAAAGCAGGTCATTTTTACCGGCTAGTCTACGTGGCATTTTTACGTGATTTTTTTTTTCTTTTTGCTGAGTTGTAAATCTGATGCTTAGTTGGCAAATTATGTGGCATTTTTACAAAAAAAACGATAGAGAATGGGAATTGAACCTGGGGTGATGGGCACCCACGTGAGCTTCAATGTCACTTGGCCTAACACACTAACTTTAATAGATTTGACTTTATTTATATATTAATCATAAACGTTTTATCTAAAAATAATAATAATATATATTATTCAATTTATACTACTACTTTAATTATAAAATTAATACATGATATATATTTTCATTAAATAATACATGATATATTATTAATTTTTTTATTAGTTAAATAAATATTTACTGAATGAATAAATATATTAAATATAAATTAATAAATAAATATTCGATAATGAAATTTTATTTCTTGTTTATTATATTTAATAAATAAATATATTAAATAATACAATATTATTTTTATTAAAATATAAATATATATATATTTCAATTTATATGGCTTTTAATTATAAAATTATACATAATTTATGCAATAATTTATATATATTATGAATTTTTTTTATATATTAATTAAATACTTATTAAATAATAAATATATTATAAAATTTATTAAATATATATTAATAAATAAATATAATGAATATTATAATACTATTTTCTCATTTATTACATTTTTAGTGAAATATATTAAATAATGTCATATTTTTTTTATTTGATTAAATATATTTAATTATTTTATTGTTAAACATATCTATTGATTAGTAAATATTTATATTTATCAAGTAAATATCTATTTATATATTATATTATAATATATTTATTTAGTATATTATATAATATAGATATATTTATTAAATTATTTAATATAATTTTTTATTTCTAAATATTTATTTAGTAAAAATTTAATAAAATAAAATTTAATAATTGTTAATTTGATATCCACATCCTTTAATATATAATAATAGTAATAATAATAATAATAATAATAATAATAATAATAATAATAATAATAATAATAACAAATATATTAAATAGCGAAATTTATATATATATATATTTATATTTACATATTAAATGTATTATTTAATTTATTTATTTATTTAAATATTAAATATAATTTTTGAATATATTTATCTATTTGAATGTGTTAAAATAAAATCATATTATTTAATATATTTATTTATATTTTATTTAACGTACTTATTATTTATTAAATATTTATTTAATATATAAAAAATAATTAAGATTTAATAATGTAGATTAATATGAAAAATAACATTAACTATAATAAAAGTTTAATTAACCAAAGTAATTAAATATATAATAAAACTTTCTTGAGAGATATATAAATGAAAATTTAAATATTTAACATAAATTATGTTAGGTCAAGTGGCTCATAAGGCCACTACAATGCTTATCAACCTGGGTTCGAAACCCCTTCTTGCTATTTTTTTTGAATTATGTCACATAGCTTCCAACTCAGAAAAAATAAAAAAAAATAATAAAAAAAAAATGTAAAAATGCCACGTATACTAGACGGTAAAAATGACCTGTTTTTGCCGGTGACAGGACCATTTCTCATGATTTTTGCCACTTACAGGACGTGATCCAAAAGTGGGCATTGAAGAGGACCAAACCTCAAATAGGTGCCACTTACAGGACGAAAAAATAATAAAGTTTGATCATCTATCTTTTTACATCATTTCATCAACGTCATATTTTTTGTCGGAACATTAAACCTGAGTCTGGTAGCGCTACTCTTTAAATTAATTAATATATTATCTCGCTCACATGTTTATAATAATATAAATTTGATTTCATTACATATATTTATTCCTTGATATAAGAAAAATAATAATTTTACGTAATCTTGTTCTTCGTATAATACTCATATTATTTTATTACAAAATTTATTTTAATATAATGTCATTATTATTATTTATACAAGTTATAGATGTAGTCTTCTTCTTTTTGTTTTATGTAATTAAAATAT